ATCATGCGCAGAAAAACAAAAGTAAAGACATTTCTCTGACCTGCCGAGCGACTGCAAAGTTTATGATTCCAAAATCGATAAGGATGGTAACTTTGTGATTTTAGACATCCAAGTTGAAGATAGAAGATTCACATTAGCTTCTATTTATGGACCAAATACAGACACCCCTACATTTTTCACAGACCTTAAAACAAAATTGGAACATTTTGAAAATGCATCTTTGTTAATTACTGGTGATTGGAATTTAGTAATGGATCAAGAGCTAGATACATTTAAATATAAACATATAAACAATCCAAACTCTAAAAAGAAAGTGAAAGAATTATGCAATCATTTCGATTTATTTGATATTTGGCGGGAACTTCACCCAGAAGAAAAAAAATTCACATGGTTCAGACGAAAGCCGCGCCAAATGGCAAGACTAGATTTTATGTTGTGCTCTGATGATTTCATCAACTTGACAATAAACTGTAATATTTTACCTGGATACAGATCAGATCATGATATATTAACATTGTCTCTCGAAAACGGAATTCCAGAAAGAGGTCGAGGATTTTGGAAATTTAATGTCTCGCTCCTTAAAGATCCAGCCTACATTATCATTGTTAAAGACTCTATTGAGAGAATTAAAGAACAGTACGCGCTAGCTGACGACATCGCTGAAGATTATACTGAAATTGATATCGCGGTTAATAATCAACTTATGTTCGAAATGTTAAAACTAGAAATAAGAGGTCAGACAATAAAATACTCAACGCGGAAAAAGAAACTTCGAGAAAAGATCCAACGCGATCTAGAGTTAAAAGCCGAGTCTATTGAAGCGGATATTCAAAATACTTTAAACTCAAACGAAGAAATTTCAATTAGCAACGACCTTATTGAATCTAAATATCAAGACCTGGAAAACATTAAATCTGAAATGAAAGAATACAGAGAAAATCAAATCAAAGGTCTAATGACACGGGCCAATCTTGATTGGTACGAACATGGTGAGAGAGCCACAAAATATTTCAGCGCACTTGAAAAGAGAAATTATGTTAATAAGGTAATATGTCAAATAGAAACTGACGGTCAACTTATTTCAGATCCAAAACTCGTGCTAGAAGCTCAAAGGGCATACTATGAAGATTTATACTCGAGCAAAATTGAAAGCAATGACGAAAATTATGATGTTTTTCTCTCTGACAACGCTCTCGGGTCTTTAAAAGACGAGGAGAAACAATTTTGTGAAGGTAAGTTGAACGAACAAGAGCTAAAAGAATCCTTAAAAAACAGTAAAAATGGAAAATCACCCGGCTCCGATGGTTTTAGCGTGGAATTTTACAAGTTTTTCTATAGAGATTTGGGGCAGTTTTTATTGAACTCGCTGAATGCAGCTTTTGTTTTGGGTGAACTCTCTATAACACAGAAACAAGGTATTATTACATGTATTCCAAAAGGGAACAAATTGAGAAAATTATTAAAGAATTGGAGGCCAATTACTTTACTTAACTCTGATTATAAGCTTCTTAGTGCCTCACTTGCAACCAGAATGAAAAATGTTCTGCCACAAATTATCTCTCTTGAACAAAAAGCATATCTGCCTGGTAGAGAGATGGCGGAGAACACCCGCCTTGTATTTGATATAATGGATCATTTAAATAGAAAGCAACAAGCTGGTTTAATATTATTAGCAGATTTCGAGAAAGCTTTTGATAGTATTGAGTGGTCTTACCTTGATAAATGTTTGAAAAGATTCAATTTTGGCGAAAGTTTTATACGATGGTATCATGTTCTTTATAATCGATCCGAAAGTTGCGTCATAAACAACGGCCATTTTTCTACTTTTTTTCAATTAAAACGAGGCTGCCGGCAGGGGGACTCCTTGTCGTGCTACTTATTTATACTAGCTCTAGAACCTCTCTGCATGAAAATTAAGAATGATAATAGTGTAAAAGGTGTCCAAATCTTTGACAAAACAATAAAAACGGGTATGTACGCAGATGACACCTTTGTGATCCTTGACGGAACACCTCCATCCTTGAGAACATGTATTGACATTTTTCAAAAATTCCATTGTGCGTCTGGCTTAAAATTGAACGTTGATAAAACCTCAGCTATTTGGATTGGAAGCAAAGCAAATTCAGATGAGAGATTATGTAAAGATATTTCTTTGAAATGGGAAACGCAATTTAAACTATTAGGTTTGCAACTGCCTTCCGACCTACGAAATGTAGAAACGCTGAACCTCGAATCGAAATTGACAGAAATGCAAAGTGTAATTAGCAAATATAAACGACGGAATCTATCTCTACTTGGGAAAATAACGGTTTTAAAGTCTTTTGTTTTACCAAAAATAGTTCATTTGATGCTGGTTTTACCCAGTATATCGGGTGAGTTCCATAAACGAATTAAAAACCTTTTTACTACATTTATTTGGAATTCCCCAGTCTCTAAGGTAAGTTTTTCTCAATTGGTCAAAGACTACAAAGACGGGGGTTTAAGAATGATCGATCCACAACTATTTGAAAACTCATTAAAACTAACATGGTTGCAAAAATTACTTAGAAATGGCACCTGGCAAGATATTGCCATAAAAACTTTAGGGCTGGAATCAGGTAAGGAGCTATTTACATACGACACGAAATCATTACAAAGAATTGAATGTAGCGTTTCAAATACGTTTTGGAGAAGTTTTACTCGTGCCTTTCAACATTACACCCAAATTCAAGAGCGTATTGTAGAAAATAATCAATTTCTTCACGCGGAGAATATTTTGTGCAATTCCTGGTTAAAATATACGAGAAACGAAAATGTTAAGGTGATCATTAAAGAAATTAAAGGCGCGAAAGAAATACTTGTACTCCGAGATATGTTTCAGCCGAATAAACAAGTTCTTAACCTTAACGAATTTAACCAAAAATTTAAGGCAAAGTTAAACTTCCTGGACTTTTTATTTTTAAAAAACTCAATACCAAATGATTGGATTAAGACAATTTTAACTTGTGAACATAATATGAATGAAACCCGTACGGTTAAAAAATACTTGAATAAGTTTCTATCTCATTCAAAAATATGTAAACAAATCTACTGGGAATTTATCAAAAGTATACCAATAAACGGCACCTATTCGGAAAAGTGGAATATCGATTTAAATACAACAATTGAAACAGGAGACTGGGAAATAATAAATAAAATGAACAAAATAAGCAATTTCGAACCTAAACTTGCATCATTCAACTATAAAGTAATACATAGATTTGTTACGACCAACAAATACTTAAAGATGTGTGGTCTAACAGACTCTGATATGTGCACTTTTTGTCGGATACATGTAGAAACAATATGCCACCTTTTTCATGATTGTGCAATAGTCCAGAACCTTGTACAAGATATAAAACAATGGCTCCCAAAAGAATATGAGCATTTCTGTAACAAGCAAACTATCATATTAGGACCAAATTTAATGACCAAAGAGGCGGTTGTTTTAAATAACGTTTTTAGTATTTTTAAAAGATATGTATTCCTATGTAAACATTCTAGAGTGAAACCAACATTTAGAGGTTTAAAGTTAAATGTATTAACCTACTACAAACTAGACATAAGTGTTGGAAGAGGAGATAAATGGGATCCTCTAAACGATATACTTTCGACTGATTTTCCTTGATAATTAAGCATAATTGACTTTACAACGTGTATGCATCTATTTCGATATATTCGATTCTGTAAACATTATGTGACAAATATGTAGCTGTTCTTGACTTAAATAAATATATATTAAAAAAAACAAAAAAACATTAAACCCATCACAAACCATCGAGGATTGGACTAAAAACCATCGGGGATGTCAGATGTACGACAAATATTTACTACATATAGGAAAATCTGAGTTAGTGAACACATCTCTCTAGTGAACACCTATCAACAGTGAACGTTTTTTTCGGCGAAACCCCTTTCTCGCATTAACTTCCATGTTAAAGTACAATCCTATTCTGAACACCTACCTTCTGTGAACAGTGAACACTAAATCTTGGCAAAAATTGAATTATCCGGTCTCTAGTGAGCATTGAATCAGATTACTCGCGGATTTTCCGCAATTATCTTATCAGACTTAAGTAGTTTATGTTCATGTTACCTACCAAAAATAATTAAAAGGTCAATTTGAGATGTTGGTCTCCTCATCTATTGAAACAGGTATGACTAATTATAATTCTTGAAAAGTTTAGTATTTGTAGGACAAGATATTGTCTGGCATTGATTGCTTTGGAGCTGATGTGGTTAACTATTATTTCCTCTATCTCTTAAGTCCCAACTTAAACTTTTTCTCATCTCCATCAATTTAAAAAACATATTGGATTAAAATTATCATGAACACCCTTAATTGAGTCTATCATCCAATAAAGTTAATTGACTCAAATGTGCAAGTGAGATTATAAAGAATTCGCGCATACTTAGGCAAGGTGTAAACAACAATGGTTTTTTTAATGTGCCGTCCTACTGTGTGTCCGATTCCAGCCAATCCGAACAGAGTATTCACATAATGAACGGTGTGTGAAATATCAATAACACATGCAAGGTCACTAGTTAAACAGTTATCATGGTGATGATTGGATTTTTCACATTGGATTTGATGACTTGCCAACTCGACCCATGCAAAACATTTCGTTGAAAATGTGTTCTTTTAGTGATTTCGTTCCTTTTAGATGATTTTATAGAAAAAATTCCAATGTGTGAATAGAATTTAAGCCCAACACTCAATGCATTGTAGCTGCTTCATTCCACTCAGGCGTTGTTTCCTAATCTTTGCATTCCCGCTGCGCGGTCATGCAAAGGTTTGGAAACAACAGCTTCATGGTATGATTCAGGTTTACACAGGTTTACTGTAATTGATATTTTAGAACATAGATTTCTATCGCATATGGCCAGGGATGTTGGATTTGAATTTTTTTAATCAAACACCAAAATACCTAGATTAAAGTCGACAGTTCACCTGTTCACTGTAATTCAAATATTTAATCCAGGCGAGTGCTGAGGTTGCGGTGTATGGCTTCAATAAGGAGAAGCAGTCCACGGACGGTTTTCTAGGTTTACCCACTGACGTATTGGGGACTGACTACTTCGCTGTAACTTACTACCCTCCTACAATGCAAACGGAGATTGGAATTGCGGCTGTGTATAATAATAGTCAGAAACCCATGCCTCTCTATCGTTTCAAAAAATTTACCCAACGTGTTCGTCTCTGTTAATTTATGGCATCCATACTTTTTTGAAAGGTAACACTTTGAGGTCCAATTTGCTGCCGGATGCCCTTGCAAACTCTCATAGGTTGCTTTGTATTGTAGCATTCCGTTACCATGGTTACGCATCTATAAACATCTTACCTTGGAATCTTAGATCATTTATAACTTTGTCATTATTTGGTCTATAGAGATGATATTGGTATCAAATTAAACCTAATTAAATTTCCCATAAACTAATGATATTCAATTATGCAAATTAGCTCATTTGCATAAATTGTGACGTCATCAATCAATTTTTGATTCAGAATTTTCAAGTATAGCAACATATCTATTAGAATTGAAGCCATATGTCAGAATTTCTGCAAAGTTTGGTCCATTAGTCTATAAGAAGAAGGTATAAGCAACATAAAAGTGAAAACAGATTCAAAATTGGATCAGTATTACCAAAGTTATTAAACTTTCGAGGAAGCTACTGTGAATGTCATTATTTGACAATTATATTCAGACATCTTACTATGGAAGTTTAAAATGTTTGTAGCTTTGTCATTATTTGGTCTATAGAAATGATATTGGTATCGAATTAGATCTTATTAAATTTCCTGTACGATTATGATGTTCAATTATGCAAATTAGCTAATTTGCATAAATTGTGACGTCATCAATCTATTTTGTTCAGAATATCCCAGTTTAGCAACATACCTATTAGAACTGAGGCCGTATGACAGAATGGGTGCATATTTTTTACCTTTATTTGATGAGTGGAAGATATATAGGCAACATTCAAGAGACAACAGATTCAGAATTGGATCAGAATTAGCAGTTATTCAGCTTTTGGGGCAGCTACTGGGAACGACAATTATAAAAAGGTTTACAATAACGAAAAAAGAAACAAACATTGTTGTTTCAATCTTATTGAGTAAAAATGTACATGACTTGTTCATATTATTTCATTGAACTAAACATGTAAGTATGTGGAGATGTAACATGTATTTTGACTATCATTCACAGGGGTCAAAATCATGTGATCTCGATCCTGTATTTTAAAATCCAATTTTATAATTTACAATACACTGTCAATGATTCATATAAATACATAGTAATGCTTTAATCATGCTATTTTGACATATGTGACTAGTATACATATTAATATTTAAACAAATATGGAGGAGTGTTCTTGGTTTCATTTGATTTCTAACATGTGAAAAAGCTGAAAACAAAATTTTGTTGATATTTGGACATTAGCTAAATACACCTTAATTACCATTTTATATTCAAAATACAGATAGAGTGTCAATTTTACAACTTGTGTCAAGTATTGAGGGAGTCACATCACACCCCCCAGGATGCATTCCTTTGATGGAGCTGTCACACTTAGGCCTTGTAGCTCAGTGTACGCCACTGTGTGAATACTTTCCGGCAGATGGTAGGGTACAGGGTACTAATATGACAACTACTTCAGGGGAATTTTGTAACCTTCAAAATCCTTGGTGATTCAACCTTAGAATGATTTTTGTTATAGCTTTTCTGAAAATGGACTATAAGCAGCAGGTACTTCAGGAAGCAAATTGAAAAGTAGTTTTTATATAATTTTACAAAGTATAACCTCTTTGATATGCAATGAAAAATGATAACCAAATCCATACAAAGAGCTCAGTAGTAGTACCAAGGGCGTTACAATACCCGGGAATTTATCGGTTCGTCCAGTACTTGTTTGTGATAGCGCCCTCTGTAGGCCATTGTGCTTATAGCCTACAGTAATACGGGGTAGGATATCGGGAATTCGGTCAGTTTCTATCCGTCGATTTCGCTATGAATTGAAGCAAGTGTGACCACTTTATCCACTTAAACAATTTGATAATTGATTAAATCTTTAAACAAAATCGATAAACACGTTATACACTTCCTATCTCCTTAGAAATTAGCATGTATTTATGGATTGTGTTTTCGAACAAGGCTCGACCCACACCAATAGGGAAATCCTTATGCTAATTAGTATGACGTCATATTTTCCTGGGGAATCCTAGATTTCAAAGCCTCAGTCTGTTATTGTGTCAAATGTAAACGCTCTTGGGACGCTCTTTTGCAGACAGAAAATTGACAGATTAGCTTTTAACTTTCAGCTTTGATGTTTAAATATTCTGTATTTCTACCGGACTTCTTGCTGAATATCATATAATGTTATAACTTGATTTGGATCATTGCCTGATTGATCATTCTGAAATTTTGATTGTGATTCATGGTTGATTGGCAAGAAAATAATTCCTATTGTTTTCCAGCGAAGTCAAAATGTTACAGCATGAGTTATAATGTCGAGTTTGCATCATGTTAAATTCTGCTAGTGATTTGTAGTCCATGCACAAGCATACACATAAGAGACAAACACACCCAGGCTCCAGGCCGTGGATGGAAATATAAAACTATTTAAGGCACAAACTGGTATTAATAGACCGATATGTAGTGTCTGCCATGTATTGAAGGTAAACCAATCTGTATTATTAATGTTTCTTCTATCAATACATGGGTTGTACGCAATAGAAAAGCAATGGCACAATCAAAAATGTGCATATCAATCGTGAATATCTCTCGGTTCAAAGCTTATTTCCAACAGAATCGTGTCAAAATATGTGTCTGAGTAACAGTTATACATTATAAGATCGCAAACTCTTACCAATTATCAGCCGAATGGCTCATTTTCAACGAAATGTCCTTAAGACAACAGCCCTGGGTCGCGCCTGAGACCAAAAACTACTTCAAATAGCCCTCCCCTAATTATATTGGATAATCACATTAATGCGTGCGCGCGCAGCTCATCCAATGAACGAAACGCCACTTCCCGCTGAAATCACCGGGTATTGATCTTTCCCTTGGTAGTACTTGTAATCCTGAAATTAAAGTCTGCTGAAATAGCCACGAAGAAAAAATGCCCTTTAAAAGAAGTGATATTCGTAGGACTTTAAAGATGCATTATGCCATAGGTTTCTCCCCAGACAATCAATGATAGCCTATTGTTATTGCTCATATAATATCTCACATACCATGGATATATCTTGAGAATAGCTTTTGGGTATATTATTGCCGAAATATCGGAAATAATCAACAGAACAACCAAACTCCAGAATTAAACACAATCGATTCCTCGGCTAGCGAGGGGAATCCCCATTGAGTCACACAAGCGCCTTGAACCAGGCAGGCAATCAGGTTTATGATAAATAGATTCAACGACCAATCAGATAACAGGATGACTTTCCTGGTATATTCAAACTTCAGATTGAATTAATTTCTTCGAAAATAATTAGATCAGCCAGCACTATCGCAAAATTAACACTGAAAGGGGGGGATTTGGGACTACTTCTTTGGTAAGTAGATGGGTATATATGTGGTGAAACTCAATATGCAAAAAAGTCCAGAGGGGTCTTGATTGTGTTATCCTATGGCATAGAGCCTCTTTAACTAACCCTTCCTATATCTATATATAGGTTTCCTACATCTCCAATGGAAGTATGTGTGGTATGGAACTTATTATCTAAACTTGTTTTAAAAGGTTTCCAAAATATGAAATATGTACAAATCTATGAAAAATATGAGTCTCAAATGGATGGATTTCAGGTATACCCCCATAGAGTATAGATACCATTCAAAACTGAGAACAGTAACAACAGGAGATTTTGGTGCAAAATAAAGGAGTTAATCACGTAGCATGATTGACAGAGGTTGTCAAACTATTTTAATATACTTTTTATAGTTTAGAAGCTTTAATATGGCATGAAAATAGCATACAGTATGTCAGTATGTAGTTTAGGGAGCAGAGATATTATTTCATTGCATGGATTTAAATTATTTTCAGACAAGGGTTTCTGAAGATCTAATCAATATAACAGATTATATCAAAAACAAGGAGATTAATGTCACACAGATGACATTCGAGAGTCAAATCACACTGGTGAGGTGAACATGGAGATCAATGTGCATGACAAAGATGATGGATACATTAAGAATAAAAAGCATCCCTGTCATGAAAGTCACCACTGAAATAGATACAAAAGAAAAATTCAACCACTGCCATATAGGTTCCGGACATGGATAATGGTACATGAAGATTATAACATGAACGCGGATATCAATGTCACATGGATGACATGGTGATAAATCGTTAATTTGTTCAAAGTTACACTATTAAGGTGATGTTAGTCACATGGAAATCAGTAACACTTGGATGTAGGAACTCTTGGGTTCACTAGGGTTCACACAAGTCCTCACTATTCATTTCTACGCTTCATTAACACTTAATATAAAATGCAATACTATCTATGAAGTTATGAACTATAATAGCTTGGTATGATAAATAATACTAGGTGTCTCAAAAATGTACCCAAAAGAATATTAATGGCACAGATAAACCAATCAATATTTTCAGATATTTTTTGCATGGTCATGTTGCTACAGCATGTAAGTTTTCCCCCAATACAAAGTTTTTAGTTCAGTCTTGCCTTTTTGATGATTTAACCCTTTACTTTTTATTTCATATTTCGATGACAGCCTATATCCTTTTGCTAGATTGTTCATTACATTTGATAATGTTTCAAGTGGAACGTTTTGATTTTCTCTTTGGGTGTTGGCCTTATGTTGTTCCAGGTCTTTTGGCTTGGGGTTAGCTTAACATTCTCCTTCAAATAACCCCAGAGAAAGAAGTTCCAAGGTTGAAGATGGCAGAACAATCACAGAGAACCAGGTCAATTATCGTCAAATGATTTAGCGGTTAATTGATAATGGAGTTCCATCTGCCAGAGTTACGGAGACTGAATGATATCCAAATGAGAACACTGTGGTTCCAGACAGTTTGAGTACCTCCATGTACAGCAAGGACCACACAAAAATTCTCATGAAAGCAGTTTCTTCTCTCTGTGTAAAGACAATGTTAGGGCCTCCCTATTCAACAGATTTGACACCCCTAACATTTTCTCTGGGGTGACTTGAAGAACCATGTTTATGCTTATCCCAAGCCAAGAGGCATAGAACAACTTGAGATCAACATGTAAAAGGAAATTCAAAACATTCCACCAGAAACATTATCATATACGATAGACAATGTAGCAGTAAGGATGCAGTCTTTCATCGAAATGTAAGGAGGTTAAATTAAACACATGGAATAAAAAGGGTTAAAGCATCAAAAAGGCAAGACTGACCTAAAAATTTAGATTTGGAGAGAAAACTTACATGCTTTTCCTAAATTTACCATGCAAAAAATATCTGAAAATATTGATTAATTTATCTTTGCTGTTGATATACCTTTGGGTACATTTTTTGAGACACCCTAGATAATAAAAATTGTATTTTTAATGTCATTGCTAATAATCTGACAAAATGAATGAAGGGGAGTCGATTTCTGCTAGAAAATTCAACAAAACGCCATCTCAATAAATGGAGACCATAATAATATGTCCCAGCTTTTGATGGTGACATAAAAAACAGCAATGACATACATTTTGTGATTTAACGTCATCAATTTGTATAAACAGGTCATACAGATATTCACGCTTGAAACCCAGCACAAATATTAATGTTTGACCTTTCATGATGTTTAAATAGATTGACGCCTATGAAGCAAATCAGTATAAAAATTCATGTAGATGTTCACTGCTTGAATCGCAGCACAAATATTTATGTTTGACCATGCAGACATGATGTTTCGCCTTTTTAAATAGATTGACGCCTATGAATCAAAAAAACTGTTTTGACCCCTGTCAATGATAGTCAAAATTACAAATACCTGTATCATTTCTATAGACCAATTAATTCAGTGACACGGAAACTATATATTTTTTACTCAATAAGCTTGAATCAGCTTTGTTTCATTTTTGTTATTTTAGTGTTTTATTTAAGATTTTCAAATAGTAACGTTCATTGTAGCTGTCTCAAAAGCTGAATTACTTTGCTAATACTAATTCAATTTTGAATCATTTTTTATGTTGCTCATACCTCTTCCACTCATAGAATAAATGACAAAGAATGCATAAACTACGCCATGCAACCTCGGATTTAATAAATATGTTGCTATACTTGGAAGTTCTGAACCAAAAATAGATTGATGACATCATGATTTATGCAAATTAGCTAATTTGCATAATTGAATATCGTTACCATACCGGTTTTTCAATTCGGATCAATTTGATACCAAGATATCCTCTATAGACCAAACAATGACAAAGCTACCAAACATTTCAATTCTAAGGTAAGATGTTTAAAGTTAATTGTTAAATGATAACGTTCATGGTAGCTGCCTAGAAAGCTTAATAACTTTGTTAGTTATGATCCAATTTTGAATCTGTTTTCACTTTTGTGTTGCTTAAACCTTTTGCTCATAGAATATAAGTCATAACCTTGAAGAAATTCTACCGTACGGCTTCAGTTCTTAAAGATACATTGCTATACTTGAAAATTCTGAACCAAAAATGGATTTATGACGTGTCAATTTATGCAAATGAGCTAATTTGCATAATTGAATATCGTAATTATATGGGAAATTGTTTTAGGTTTAATTTGATACCAATATCATTTCTATAGACAAAATAATGACAAAGCTACAAATGATTTAAGATTCCAAGGTAAGATGTCTATAGATGCGTAACCATGGTAACGGAATGCTACAATACAGAGCAACCAAAGAGAGTTTGCAAGGGCATCCGGCAGAAAATTGAACCTCAAAGTGTTACCTTTCAAAAAAGTATGGATGCCATAAATTAACAGAGACGAACACGTTGGGTAAATTTTTTGAAACGATAGAGAGGCATGGGTTTCTGACTATAACACCAAGGTTTATTTTAAATTGAAATACTCACTTACAGGCCATGTTACATATGACAATGACGTATACTTTGGTGGTGACACACTCACTGTTAATCTAGATGAATATGAAACGTTTCAAATGCACAGTACCACTGACGACCTCACTGGTACTCGGATACTATCCAATAATCCAATATCAGTATTCAGTGGTAACAAAAAAACTAAGGTTGCTCCAAATGATATCTCCACGATACGAAACTCAAAGGACCACCTAGTTTCCCAGCTACCCCCCGTGGATGTCTGGGGGAGCACATTTGTTACAGTACCTACTCCCGGGCGACTTTTTGGTGACATGGTAAAAATTGTAGCAAGTCAGGCCAACACTGCTGTAAACATAACTGGCTTTGATACACAGTATATCAATGACAGTGGAGGATATTTGCAGGTGAGTAAAATTATTGGCTTTGGTACATAGAAATTTATGACTTGGGGATGTTGAATATACGAGTCAATAAACCAACCTAACTCCTAGCCAGACATGTCAATTCATCGAAATCCAAGCCACAAGGAATTCTCTGAAAGACAGAGGTCCACTTACATATGCACTGGTGATCCACTCGATTACGCTGGTTACCGAAACGGTTCGTTTTGGTAGCAACATGTCGGAACGTCGAATGTACGATTTTTCTTTTTTCCTTATTTCACACGTTGTAGGCAGAATCCCCACGACGTTTTTTCTCACAAACGTATATCAGTATCATATGTTTTAGATAATATACATGTTTGCGAAAAATAGCTCAGAAGACACCAGAATCGTCGATTTAATTCCTCACTTAAGTTACATAAACGGTTTGGGTTAAAGTGCAGATTAAATCGACGATTCTGTCGTCTTCTGAACTATTTGTTCGCAAATATGTACATTTTCTTAGACATATGATACTGATACACGTTTGTGTTAAAAATGTCGTGGTAATTCTGCCTACAACGTGTGAAATAAGGAAGAAAGAAAAATCGTACCTTCGATGTTCCGACATTTTGTTAGCAAAACGAACCGTTTCGGTAACCAGCGTAATCGAGTGGATCACCAGTGATATGAGCGAGTCCACCAAACGCAGCCTGGTGCATGGGATTTTGTCAATTCTGGCGAATCTTACAAAATCTGTTACATAATTTCAAAACATAAAGGCCTTTTACACTCAATCGTTGCATTATTGCAACGAGGGAGACTTCAATGTGAATTGCAATGGAGTCGTGCGACGACTGTTTCGCAAACAGATGTGGACTCTGACACTCCTATATTTTGAGACCACATATTGTTTGTCCATCTTTGACTGGAGAGATTGTATGATTTGCCACTACCCAGGTGGGATTATACCTTCCTACATTACCAAGCATTACATCAAACATTTTGTTTTGGCGTGAGACAGTATTGTCCGAAATTAATCTAATTGGTAAAAATCAGGTTACAATTTTGTCATTTATGCACAGGTTCGGCTTCCTGCAGAACAATACAGCACAATTCAAGCTGACAAGCCAGCCATGATGGTTATGCTGTCCATTACACAGGACAGTTCGGAGTCCGAGGGTGACCCTTCAATGACAATAGTGCCCTGGCTAGAACAATTCAACTCGAAATACACATTCACCACTCCGAAATATTCCCTTGGCTCATATTTGAATTACGTTTTACTGGTTATTGAGGATAAATATAAAGATGGGTTAGTCTTAGATGGTGACAGTACACGCGTAAATCAAGAGGCAACTTGGCATACCTTCCCAGGGTTAGCTGATTACGTAGGGACGTATTTCGGTATAGAGGAGGGCTCGCATCATATTGAACATTCCAACCCAAATGCGTCATTTGGGGCTTATCTACAGGGTGATCCAGAAGTAACGTCAAAGATGTTGTAATTTCAAAAGTATTCATCAGATCTTCATGAAATTTGGTATACATGTACCCACAACATTTCTGAGTTACCATCTCAAAGATTGGAATTCAATCATTTCATTGGTTGAAATTATGGTTGCTATAGTAACCCGATATCGCGTAACCCGGGGCAAATTACTTAACGTGTAATGCGTAATCTCAAAATATCAACAAGATCTGAAATTGTTATATCCTCAACATTTTATTTCACAACAATATAAATCATACTATTGCACAGTTACTAATAATAGTTCATTCTACATAATTGCCACCATTTGCAACACATTTCTCATGTCTGGATACCCATTCCTTGAACACAGAATTAAATCCATTAGAACTCATTCCTTGTAGGGCTAGTACTACGGCATTTTTCAATTCCTCACAGGATTGAAATTTATTTCCACTAAGGTTTCTTTTTAGTTCCCCATACAAATAAAAGTCACTGGGGGCAAGATCAGGTGAATAAGGGGCATGTTCAAGTTGTTGAAATCCAAGTGTTTGGACTGTGTTGCTGGTCAGAATTGCAGTGTGCGTAGGGGCATTGTCCCAATGCAAGATAAACTGCTGCAGATGTCCGGGACGCTTTTTCCTCAGGGAACGTTGAAGATCACGCTTCAGAACCTGAAAAACAAATGTTTAATGGTTGTTAAACCAGTTGTTTCATTGATTGGATTTGGATTTGAATCATGGCCATGGAGTTATAATTATATTGACAGTGAACAACATTTAAATACTTTAATTTAAAAATAAAATTCACAGTATGATGTATTATTAGAACAAATGATATCTTACCTTTGCAATGTAAACGGCATTAATTCTCTGGCCAATGGGAACAAAATGGGTTAACACCATTCCTCTAATGTCAAAGAATGTCACAACCATTTGTTTCTTTTGTGGAATTCCTGGTACTATTTTAGGCTTGGTTGGTGTTGGGGAGTTGTCATGTTTCCACGATGAACTTTGTTGCGTGGTCTCTGGGATGTAGAATGATAGCAATGATTCGTCACTCGTAATGATCTTGTTAAGAAAGTCATCTCCATCTCTCCGATATTTTGCAAGAAAGTCCCTTGAAGCCTTAACACGCCGGTCTTTCTGCTCCTGTGTCAAGTCATGCGGCACCCATTTAGCAGACACCTTCTTTAACAGACAGTTCTTTGTCAGTATCCGTTGCACAGTCCCATAGCTCAGATCGTGTTTTTCAGCCAATTCTCTGATAGAAATTTGCCTATTGTCCATAACATCAGCTTCAATTGCTTTGATGGTTTGATCATCGAATGACGACACTGGCCTGCCTCCTCGCTGCTTGTCTACCACTTCATCATATCCATTGCACAGAATTGGTCGAATAGCCGATAGATGTCATTCATTGATTAAACATGACGTCATATTTGAGATCTTAAGATAAATCTGACGTCATGACGCCAGTGCCATAGAAACTGAGATTGTCTTATTTTATTTTGACGTCATTCCAATGTAATGAACCAGTTATATCACCAAAAGTTATCATATTTTGTTTGAAATTGGCCGAAAAGTTAAAGGTATGAGGATTCTAATCTCAACGGAATCAAACAGAGCTACCTTCAAAGTTACAGAAACCTGAGATGACTAAGATACCATATGATTTTAAGTACCTCTACCAGACCGTTGAATATCCCCATTTCACCATTTTGACGCCATTTCTAATGGATTTCAATGGAGTCATGCATGAATTCCTCATGATTTTTTCAAAACAAATTGGCCGAAAAGTGTGCATGTGTACATTGCTTAAAACATGTTAAATCAGTAAAGGTTGATGTCTAGTTATAGAAACCTGAGATGACTAAGGTGGCAAGTCAATATCATTCGCACAGTAAGCGTTCGAAAAATGTCTCCATTATAAATCCCATAGGCTTTGGAAAACCGGAAATAATGGTTCTGCGCATGCGCAGTGAAATATTGGACAAATTTTGCGCAATGCCACTGGAATACTTGTTAAACCACCTGTAAATGTTTCTCTCAGCAATGGCAGCTTTACCATATGCCTTCTTTATCTGTCTTATAGTCTCTTTTACACCTTTCCCCAACTTTACACAGAACTTAATGTTTGTTCTTTGCTCTATTTTACTCTGACTTGGCGCCATCTTGAATTGGGTGGGTTAGTGTCCTTGGTCATGTTAGTATTTGTCATGGATGATGGAAGCAATTCAAAGAAATTGAAAGCTTTTTATGAATGCCTATTGTGACATCACAACTATTACATATTTGTTACCATGGCAACAAATATAAAAATCATAGAAAACAAACAATGAACATTTTCAAATGTTACTGACTTTTTAAATTAGAGAAATTCACAAAAACGTTATGGTTTCTCTTCAATTTGCCCCGGGTTACGCGATATCGGGTTACTATAGCAACCATAATTTCAACCAATGAAATGATTGAATTCCAATCTTTGAGATGGTAACTCAGAAATGTTGTGGGTACATGTTTACCAAATTTCATGAAGATCTGATGAATACTTTTGAAATTTCAATGTCTTTGACGTTACTTCTGGATCACCCTGTATATGGAAAGGCTAATTTTGAATCGTATGGACTCCCCACTGGAATGAAATTGACAAAAATAAATGAGGTAAGATTTCCGACAGCTATGATTTTATTGTACGTTTGGTTTATTAGTTTTAAACGATATTGTTTTGGAAAATATTGCTATCTCTGAATTTACCGATTATTTTTACTTCAGTGCCCTGGTAGTAATGGTAGTATAATAGATGGTGTTGATAATGACTGTGATGGACTTATAGATGAAGAAACCTGCGGACCCTCTGCAACAGGTACAACACAATGCTTTATACAAATAAGCACAACATTCTCCAGACACAATCCTCCCTTACAACGCAGCAGCTAATGAAGACTTGCATACATCAGCACATTTTTTATGACACCACCACAAGTGGTGTCATATTGTATATAGTCTCCAACTGTTCGGAGGTTGGTGTTCGGCAGGCAGCGTCTGTAACAAATGGCAGGTATTGACATTTTGCAAGTTAATGCCTTGTTAATGGTTGTTATACGGTCTCCTTATAGATATTTTATATGAAGTCGTATATTTTAGATGACGACAAGGATGGAAGAGTCGATGAAGACTGTGGTTTTTATGAAGAAACAACTACAGATACTCAGTCAACTACAAAATATAATAGCACAACAGAACGTTCAAGCATAACGACAGAAAGTGAAAGCACAACGACAGAAAGTCCAAGCACAACGACAGAGAGTTCGAGCACAGCAACTGAAAGTTCAAGCACAACGACAGAAAGTCCAAGCACAACAACAGAAAGTTACATTTCTACTGAGACATTGTCTGCCACATTAGTAACCACCGAGCCACCCCAGGGCTTTGTAATCATCCCGCCATCCCAAGGCGTTGTAGACGCCCCACCAGTTCAAGGCGTTGTTGTCGCCCCACCAGTTCAAGGCTTTATAACCACCGCAAGTTCGTCCACAACTCCAGTTGTTAAGTCAGTTAACATAACTGATGACCAAGCCCTCACAGCTGCCAGACAGAGAAATGATGTAGATATTTTCAAAACTTTTTCAACAACTTCAGTAATACAATGACAGAAAAATTGCATCTTGTATCTTTTGTACTTTTGAACTCAATGTTATTTGGCTAAATAAATAAATAAATAAACTGTTGTCGTATCAATAGTCACATACTTTAATTTTCTAAAACCCTTAATTTGCATCTTTTTCAGAAAAAGACAAATGCTGTACTTGGAATGCTGATCCCGATTACGATTCTGTCTCTGGTTGGTTCTATTGTTCTGATTGCTGTAGTCGTTAAAGTGGTCAGAAAATGCAGACGCTATATGCCTCAAGAAGATGCTGATGGTTTAGTAAAACCTACAATGACACCGGCAAGAAATGTTGTGACACCAACAAAGCAAACCATATAGATCTCCCTTTCGCGGTTCGCTCTTTGAATCAGAACGTTCGCAAATATGTACTGAAAAAGCAATCAAAAAGGACAACATATGATTGGTCAATATTTTCCCACTATGCATTTCGCGTAGCTATTTGCGTGACCCGAAAGTTCTAAATCAAAATAATTACGCAATTTTGTTTTTACACCCGCACGCTAAATAAAACAATGACACCATCGGAAGTATTCTTCGTTGTCATTGCTTTAATCGTAAGTATACCGAGTTTAATCAATGAAAGATTGTACAATGACCAACAAATTCGGAAATGAGTATTATAGATTTGCTTTCGGACGGATTGACCTAGATAATAGCGATGCGTCTTCTTTGGTCTACTGCTCAGTTGTTTGTGGGTTTTCAACGTAACTCTATAATGTAATTTGAAGATGAATACTTTTATTCAGTTGTTGCATCGATGTTGCAGTTTGTAGTGCGGTAAGATTGGCAGGAAAGTATTGAAAGTCGAATGGAATTGTTTTTTCCAAAATGGCGACTAGTCAACTGATCACGTGACCTTCTCTTCCGGAATATTTTCTCACTTTTCAATCATCGTTTTCACCACGCTATGAATCAATACAATGAAAAAATAGCTGTTATATTAAGACTAATAAGAGATCAATCGTTTCTAATAATTTTTTCTGTACTCTTGTACGGGAATATGAACGAATATATCGTTTGAAAAATAGGTGTGAAAATCCCCATGTTAAACCTATGAGGGAAAACAAGGAAGTATAAATTTGTTCCTCCGCGAATTGCACCATGGGAAATATTTTGACCTTATAAGGAAAGGTTTTCGCGTCTCCTCTTTTGAAGAGGGAACAACGATTTCGAGAATTGGCTCGGTATTTCTCTTTGCTCGACAAAGAGGGGGAGTATAACCCCAGGGTTCGATGGAGACATATGGCTATAATGTAAATCTGTATTGAGAAGACATCGTCGTCGATTGGTCAAATCTGGACAGACAAACAATGGCGGTATCAAAATTATGTTGATTTCTGGCGCAGTGTTAATTATTAATATCATTGCTTGTTATTTTACATCAAGATGGAGAAATATGCTAACATCGATTAAAACATCACAACGACGTGTTGTATTCGTATACATTAGCCGGTGAAAATTCTGACAAACGAAGGTGGTAGTCAAGAGATGTATGTCTGTCATTTCTAACGCTCTGGGTTCTTTCTCCTCTTTGCTGGACCTTAGTGATTATTTTCATAAATCTTGTCTGACAAAGAGCGTAATAGATCAACATTACGACATTACGACGATGAAATTAAAATTTCATTTCAAAAGTCCTTACTCCTTATTCTTTGAATGGTGCATAACACCTCCCCTTCTATAGGATGGCCTTATTTTCATGATTAGCTGTTTGTCATCCGGGTCATATTTCTTTGTCTTGATTTTTACAAGAACATTACATCCTTTTAAATATAAAGAAGTCAATGATACTTGGAGCGAGTCTAATTACTGTTGACCATAGTACAACTTGTACTTTTATGTTTTATCTGCTGCAGTAGTATTAACTAAGTTCCACTGTTTTAAAAGTGAATACAATAAATTAAATTAGATAACATAGATTCTGACACTTGAGGCTAGTTGTGATCCTCATAATCCAATTAAGATGCTAGTTTGACAATTCTACAGTTGCTGCTTGTTCACGTGAAGCTGTGTTTATCTCCTTTATGCAAACAGTCATCCCAATCTCCCCAGTATGTAGTCTTCATCCTATTCAGATAATCCGTCAAGTTTCTAAAATCTAAGAAAATTATTTTTTGACTCCAGTTATAATTATGGCATTCAAAATTCATAAAAGAAAAAAAACTCTGTCTCAATTTCCATACATCTCTCGTTGTCCAAGGTTATGACCCATTTTTACAAGATGTATGGATTGCCCAATCCACATCAGTTACATATCAAAACCTAGATAGAGATTTTCATTGATTTAGGCCTAAACCCAATATCGTTTCAGCTGGGCAGAATTGGGCGAATATGTGACTTGCATGACCCGCTTCCCTAAATGTTGGAGAACGCCCATTAGGCCCAGTTACCTTGTGTGATGAAACGTTCATGTGGGCATCCTTGCATCTGCCATAGCGCTTGTCCAAGTACACCAAACGCTATACAGTCCAGTTCAGATACCTCATCTCCGAACATATACTTCTTTGACCCTGCAGAAACAATTGACCTTTTTCCATATAAATGATTTCTTGATTTAAGAAAGAATTAATTTGGATCAACTTAAAACTCCATTGGAATGTAACTATATGATCTTATTGACATGTGGATTGTGATTTCACATTAAAATTGTGATCCTTGTAAGAGTAAATGAACTCTTAAAGGTTTTTCAGCATTGTGTCAATGGGGATTTAGCCCGACCTTTTTAGACAACTAGAAATTCATTAGAATTTGAATAAAGGTAAATAACAGTGCAAATCAAAGTTGTTTTGATAGAAGATTTCACACAGAATTCGAGAAGCATCAAATAGAAGAAAATGTTAGTCTTTATGGTTAAAAATGCGGATCTCTTAAAATCACATTAACAACGAGACTTTAACAAGATTTCAAAGCTATATGGAAAATGACCTTTTTAGGAATCTTGTTTCTGGTCCTTATGATATAAAAGTTTTTCGTCACCATTTTTCTATTTAACTTCGTCTAATACTCATAAGATGGGGAAAATAGTACCGGAAAAACGGGGCAAAACGGATCAATACCTAGGAGATTAGAAATAGCGTCCATGTTTTTTCTAGCTATTTCTGCGATCTCATCTGGGCTATGTCTTCCCATTCCATGGGCCCAACTGGCCTTTCTCACTGAACGCTTCACCACCCACCAAAGCACCCTGGGGATCTTCAACAACGTCCGCATTTCCTCGTTCCATAGCCATCGGTGTATCATAGTCCTTAAATATTCAATATATGGATATCATTCGGGTGGTTTTGTCAGTAAAAAATAAATCGCCTTTGAAATAAAGAGGACAGGCCAATCAATCTAGTTACAAAACCTATGTTTAATACACTATACTACCATACAAGACTGTCTTCGAGAAGCGATTTGAAAGATCTCGAGATGGCTCTCTGTTCGTCATTCAGATGTGCATTAAGGTTGACATTGTATTCCTTATTCAAATATTCTATACAGAACTGCGAGTCCGCTATTGACGTTCCCCTGTGCTCTATCCATGGGCATTTACCCTTAGACGACATCTTTATTCCAAACTTGCTCTACAAAGAGATATGATTTCTAAAATCACCTATGTTGAATAATTAGTGAATTAAACTTTATGATGGTACTTTTCAAAAGAATTTATAAACATGAACTTAGGAATTACTACCGTAAAGCATATACAACATGGCATCTCAATTCTTCTCAGCCCTGAGATGTTTCAAGATGTTTCAGGTGAAATAAAGATAAATTCAACAACTATAGACCAATTTCAATTCTCAGTGTATTTTCTAAAGTGCTTGAAAAAATTGTTCATGTAAAAGTGACAACATTTTTAGAAAAATATGAAATTTTATATTTACAACAATATGGTTTCAGGAAGAAGCACTCAACTTATATGGCACTTCTAAATTTCATTGAAAATATTCGTAGGTCATTAGATATCGGGGAAACTTGCATTGGGATATATATTGATTTGACTAAGGCTTTTGATACAGTGGATCACAAAATATTATTACAAAAACTTGAATTTTATGGTATTCGTGGAACAGCTCTTTCCTGGTTCAAAAGTTATCTCGAAAATCGAATTATGGTCACAGAAATTGTTAAGAAAGATGTCTTGATTGATCAATTTACAACTACAGATATGAGATATAGATCCGGTAAAAATAAAGTTGAATATGGTGTCCCTCAAGGTTCAGTCATAGGTCCCCTCTTGTTCATAATATTTATAAATGACATACATTCAATATCAAATAAACTAAACTTTGTCTTATATGCTGATGATACTAATATCCTACTTACCAATAAAAATTTTGAAACTCTAGTCTCAGATATGAATGCTGAATTAAAAACTGTTTCTAACTGGATGAAATCTAATAAATTAACTCTTAATGTTGAAAAAACAAAATATATGATATTTAATAAAAAGAAGGATCCTAATAAAAACAATATTGTTCTCAAAATTAATGAACAACCTATAGAAGAAGTTAAAGAAATCAATTTTCTAGGTGTCATTATTGACTCAAAGCTGAATTGGTCATCTCACATAAATGCTATCTGTACAAAAATTTCTAACTTGATAGGCCTTCTCTACAAGACTAGACATAGACTGACTTTAAATACAATGACCACTATCTATTATTCCATGATATATTCCTACCTAAGCTATTGTAACCTTTTATGGGGAAATGCCATAAAAACTCTTATTCAAAAATTGTATGTTCTGCAAAAGAAATTCTTGAGAGTTATCACCTATTCTGATCGTCTGGCTCCTTCAGGACCTCTCTTTTCAAAACTGAAAATATTGAATATATTTGACATCAATAAACTGCAAACCGCTAGCTTTGTTCAGAAAACTGTTTCAGAATCACCAGAATTTCCTTTTCAAAAGTTCAAACATTTATTTGTTCCAGGAACAGCAATTCATAATCATGACACGAGAATTAATAAGAATTTAACTGTAAAAAAATTCAGAACAGAAATTGGAAGAAAATCAATCGAAACAAGTGGCCCATTACTCTACAATACTCTTTCACTTGATCTCAAAAAGTCTAAACATATCAAATTATTTGAACGAAAGTTAAAGTTTGATTTGCTAAGTCATTATTAGATCTTCTTTGAAAAATGCTTTCTTCTTATTACTTGTATTTTATTGTGATGCATGTTATGCTTTGTCATTTTTTTTGTTTCCATATAGCCTGACTGTTAATTTAATAAATGCTATATTGTATGTTAAACATGGAACTTATACACCCCTCGGGGTGTCTTTTCATGTCAACGTAAAACACTGTATTTGAAACATTTGAAATAAAGTGAATTGAATTGAAAAAAAAAAAAAAATAGAAAGATGCTATGCGTATCAGAATGCTAAAATTGTTGAATTAGTTGAGCACACTTGAATGATATCGAGTCGTGAACTGTACACGTATTTAAAATGGCTCGTTTTTAAGTGCTTAACTGTATGACACATTGATTAATCAGAAGTGTATAAAATGATGTCTCTGGATAAATTAACTTACCTGGTAAGGTATATTGGCCACCCGTAGATACGTCTCTAGCTTCAGACAAAACGGTGACAAGTTGGGGATGTTTGGACCCCTTTGAAACTGATGAAGGATGACAGTCTCCATTGTCCCTTTGGTTCTCCGCAGTTATATTTATTAGACCCAAACTGAAGTATCTTAATGTATATGTTGATACAGTATACTCTATTAAAATCATGCTAATATATACATGTACACATGTTAGATTCTTTGAATATTTTCATATATCCATAAATTACAAGAAGTATGATGAACTTTGATGTTTTACTTCTGAGTTTTGCAGTTTTTATTTCACTTAAGATTTGAACTTTAACGAATGCATTGGTAAACATTTTTATATATACTTTAACCCGAGGTCAATAACTAGTACCGAAATCACGTTTAAAATTAACATGTTTATCTTAACACTAACATTCAATAGAGGTCACTAACATTTCTATTACTTCAGTATACTCTCAGTAAAACATATTCTTGAAGATGATTTTCCACATTTAACATGTGTACTCCAAACAAGTCAGATGATGTGACAATGACATAATGAAATCATTTTTATCACTAGGTCATGAATCATTAAAAAAAAAATTCGATTCGAAGCCACTAAAAAGCTAGAGAAATTGATCATGTCGCGGTGGCTGTCTTTAGGGATTAGGGGCGGTCTGTATTCACGCCCGGTGATCGGAAGAAATGAACGGAGGGGGTAGCTGATGCAAATGTCAATGCTTTTGCTATAAACCAAGCAACAATTGTCTACACGACCTGTAATAAATAAGCGACGTTTTTATCACAAAATTAATGTCATTGCTTGTTTTTTAAAATAAGTTTCCAAACAAAAGATAAAAAATAATCGAAAATAATTAAAAATGAACGGAGAGGAGGGTGAATGGAGGGGGGGGGGTAACATGTCTTTAAGGTGGAAGAAATTTCTGCGAATTCGTGTATTTGAAAATGAACTCAGTAACTCAGTAACAATTTGATGTTAGAAGTCTGAAAAGTGAAAAATAGGAGTTATAGGACATATGGACTTATTGGAAATAAAGTCAAGTTACATCTCTTATCATATCACATCTCTTATCACATATCTTATCATACATTACTCCCCCTCCCTCCGTTCATTACCCCCCCCCCCCATCCGTTCAATCTTGATAATTTTCGATTATTTTTTTTATATAACGTGTGGTAACGTGTTTTATAAAACCAACGATGACAATAGTTTTGTGATAATAACTTCACTTATAAGTATTTATTACAGGTCGTGTAATGTAGACCCCTATTGCTTGATTTATAGCAAGATTATTGGCATTTGCACGTTGGCGACGCTGCATTAAGCCATTCAAAAACTTTCTTAAAAAATAAGTCTCCAAGATGTGTCGAATTTTCTACCGAAAATCAGTTTTTACTCATATTTTCTGAATTGTCTATTGTTCATGTTAAAATTACCTCCCATGATTTTATCCAAAAACGGTTACTTTTTATTGTTATGATTTTTTTAATGTTATTTTAGATGTGACCAATTGTAATTTTGTCCCTCCATGACCTCAATGACAAACACTTTGTTCCAAATAAGAAAGTGCGCAAGCCTTTATGTAAACTTTTGACCTTGACCTATTTTCACGGGATCCGAAGGAAAATGTGAACATTATTGATACATCAATTCGAGGTATTTAAAATGGAAAGAAGTGTACCGGTAGAATTATAGGGGCTTTCTACTTCACTTTTAGTCTATTAATTATTTCACATCTTTCATCCTCAAAACTTGTGAAAATCATTGTATGAAAATGCTACTAAACCCATGACTTGCCACAGATGTCAATCAACACGGCACACTCCAGCCTTGAAAATGGAAAGGTTTTCGAGTTCATTTAATGGTTGGTCTGGTCGGATATTTATTGACTTGGGGTATTATAAAAATGGAACTTTTCTGATTTTTATCAAAATCGTTAATGACATGCTGATGACAGACCGATAAAAATGGTCTCAAGACAAAGACCTGACCTTCTGTTATACTCAAGATACATTACTCTTGGAGGTACTGTAGAATGGATTCCATGTGAAAGACCGATGCAATCAATAAAGACGTAACTTTAAATTCCAGTAAATTCTAAACACAAAGCTTCAATTCTAACTGATGAGATTTGATCTTTTTGAAGCCATTATATTGGAATTGGCTATGAATCGGAAACGAGATTGTGATTTTCCCGCCCAATTTTCAATCGCAGACGAGTTTACCATCGTGATAACTTGAGTGTTTGCAAAGTTAGACACACGGTCTGAGTGGAAATGAAAACGTATGGCCTCCCAATCTGACGGCCAGTTTACTTGCACCCATTGGTCGAAAGAAATGAAGACATACATTTGAGGAATCAATTCGAATCGTTTTTACGTAATAAAAGGTCTCACCCGGACACCATCAGTATGTGCAGGGGGGAACCGAAAAGGAAAGAACGGATACTTAGGTTAAGAATTGGAACAGAACTACCCCCGGGGTTCCGATGACAAAAACAGATAATGACAATTAGCAATCAGACAGTCGAACTGCAAAGCAATTAAATGTGTGCCTACAAATATTAAATCAAATCCAAGAACATGCACATACTTGGATCGTACGGAAGAAGAAAGATCTAAAAAATCACAAATTGTTTTTGAAACCGAAGCAGGTTTACAATCTTATCCAAAGTGGATAGGACGACAGACAGATAGTTACTAAATGGAACGATAGAATTATTACTTTACTTGTTAAGTTTTCGTTTTTAGTTAAATTTTATTTGGATTAATCTATATCATTAGTTATATACTTTTATATTTTGTTATTCGCCGTTATCGTTATGGATTTTTCACTTTGTTTATTGTTGACTGTTGCTGTTAGTCAGCTTGGAGGAACCACTGGCCAGTTGGAAGGTAAGTTCAGATCAATTACAACATGAATGTTGTCTAAACTTTCATTTCAGATTTAGATATTGTTTATCTCTTTCTGAGTCATAACAAGATAGATAAAGTTGACGGAAATAAATAATAAGACGCCGCATAACATTTCATTCTAGATATTTATGATCCTTACTATGAATTGATCTGACAGCTTCAGATATATCACAGGCAATGAAATAACTTAAGCAGTTAGTATACCTGTATTTTGTAGAGATGATATTTAAATATCAACTTTTAAAAGTTATAGTAAAAATACTGCATTTGCTTGGCCAGGGAATGAAGAATGAAGAATAACGATAAGTAGCCTTCATATTATGGTTAGACCAGAGACAGTAATATTATGTTGTCAATATTTGGGCACCGACGACAAAAAATCACTCCGATCAAAAATAAGTACTGCATTAGCTCTCTGTCTATATTTTGCAATTTTATCCCATAATTGAAAAAGACATATTGGGGTTTTAAAATCTAAAAACATGGGTTTACAACAATTATGGTTTTGAAATTAGCCTCGTTGTTTTGGCAATATTGAATTGTAGACATTAGTTGTCACTTTTCATCAGTGATATGTCTGTAAGCATTGGATTTAAAACCTACTGTGCCAAATTAACATTTCTGATAACTATAAGTGCAATCACTTAACAGCGTTGCCTTGTTTAATGCCATTAAATATTACAGTTCTTATTGCAAGAAACAAAATATTTCAAAAATTCAAAAATATTTAAAGGTGAGAATTTTTAAACAATAACAATAGAAATATAATCAGTGAATCAAAGTTTTGATTGACCAAAGCTCTAACATATTTGACATTTGGCTTCTTATTTGAAATGATCAAATAGATTCCCCTGATCAGTAAACTATGTAACAATAGAAGAAGATTTGACAGATCGATAACATTCAGCTAAATCGAAATGAAATATTAAACCATATGAGTATACACATTTAGAAGTTATTTAAAACCATATCTAAATTGATCAAATGTTAACATGACAACGATTGTGATAGATTTATTTTGACAATGGCACATTATTCACGTTATTTCCCTCACATATTGGATATTTTTGCTTATCAGTTATTCTAAAGGACACTTTCTAGGATATTATATTCTTTATCTTCTAACCAATTTCAACAGCAAATAATATTGCTATTTTTGACTTATCATGCAGTCTGACGCATTATGTGTGCGCCTGTAAAGTCCAGTCTTAACATGTTCAATACTTTGACTTAGTTTCTCTACACAAACGCTTCATCTCCAAATATTCGACGACACTGCTAGCCTCGGGTTGATTAGTCGTGTGAGCTTCAAACAGCAGAGCATGATTAAATATATCTTATTACAATAATATATCAACTTAAAATACTTATATTTAATGTGATCTCATTCATAATTTGCGCTAACAACTAAATTTCCAAATAAAGTATTCGTAAATGAGTTTATGCCCTAAGTGTCGAACTATTGGAAAGGATAATGAGCCAAATGAAATGAACAGTCACTTTTCAAAATCATAGATTTATGCTTGACTAATAAATTGATTTGTATTTCATTTATTTAGAAAAATAAGAAAGCTAGAAATTAAAATCTGATTAAAATACGTTTCGCATATCATCACTGTGAATGTTTCGTATATCATCGCTGTTCTTTCTCAACAATCAACAGCGTTATCGCTTACACGGCTATATGTCAAAGCAATTATTTGTGAGCTGGTAGCAATCATTTCACTTTTACTAAATATGAAATATTGATGTAAGTAAGCCGATTTATCACCGTGGTATAGCCAACGGTCTGATATATTCTTAAGACTTGGTGATACTATCAAAAAATGTCTCCAACTCTTGGCGGTTATCGTCTGGTGGGAATACAATCACTCCACTTTAACAGAGTTAATACTCAACTTCATGGGCCCACAAAACAAGATTAGTCTCTTTGTATACAATCGGGCTCCTCAAATCTTTTCTCGTAATAAATATAATAGGGAATAACGCAATATTAAGCCATTTAATGGCAATTTGTTCCTGCGTTCATAGATACTATCATTTTGAGCTTAATTATATGTTAGTTGCATGATATATAATTTTTGCATTTGCTTCATTCACCCCATGTTCCACAATTTAAAAGGGCATAGTTTTATAATCACCGTACATGCAGGGAAGGTGGGACATTGACCACATGCTAATATACCGACGTTTTCAAAAAACAACAGGAAACACTACATGAAAATAAATACAAAACTAAGGAATCAATCCACAAAGTAGTACAAAGATACAGGAATCATTCGACAAAAAAAATAAAACCAGTTCTTGATTTAGCTGCCCACAATGAATCGATAAACGTCTGCAACGTTGATTTTTTAGAAGAAATCAAATCTGAGCGATAATCTTTGCACTATTCAACAAGACCCTCGTCTAACTTTACTCCAAAGTTACCCTACACCTATTTGCCTTACTTTAGATAACAACTAATTTCGATAAATCTACATTTCTAAGTCTGTTTCTTGTCTAATTCGTTGTAAAGGAGATATTTACAGGAGCACCTGCATGTTAAACACCTCTATTGCCAAAACGTTACGTCTGAGAGTTTGTAAACTTTTGAAGTATGTACCTCACACGTATGTACACGTACACAGTGTTTACTATCTCATCAAAACTAAACACATACACCACCAAAAACGTTAATTTTGATTCATTCCCGAGAAATGGATTTCAGTCGACAATTTCAATATTCCCAAAACAATAGAAAAAATGCTACAACTATCATGATTGTCCCTTATATGTCTTTTTGGAAAATATTTAGATTCCAGAAACAAGTCAGTTACTGCACGGTAATTTTTTAATCAGAAATTGCGTACGTTATAATAATGGATTTGCCATTAGTATCAGAATAAGTCATTATAATTATGAACAAAATCAAGGTTCTTCTCTATTTTGAAACAAAATTGACTAATATGAAAAAGCCTAGATAAGAAACTAGTTCTGACCATACTTTTATTTGAACATATTTATATTGCAGGATCTGTGGCAGTATGTGACTTTCCCGATGGTGTTGAGGTGGACATCCCACTTATCTCTGACGACCCCTGTATTACCTGCAGATGTTACGTATGTATTTACTCAACTATTTCATACTCAAAAGCTCCACATCTCGTCTTTCTTGATGTATTTTGTTAACAAATGTATAATATTGTTAACAAATGTATAATACTGTTAACAAATGTATAATATTGTTAACAAATGTATCAAGATGCCTTTGTGGCCATTCTAAAGTGACTATCAATGATTTTATATATCATTATTATTTTCTTTATATGTTACCCCCCCCCCCCCTTTATGTGAATCCCCCACTATATGAGACCTTCACTTGATATATAGGGGTGGCCGGAGCAAAACGGGACACAGTGCAGGAAGGTTACTTTGACTAGCTGTTAACATACGTATGAGTTACCCCCAATATCCCTCTGTATACCCTCATTAAGCATATACCCTCACTATCTGTAACCCTCATTTCCTAATATAAAATACCCATACTTTTTGGTGCTCTAACCCGAGTTCATCTGCTGTATCTGCAGAAATATGGACTTCTATTAATGGATTTGAATGTTCTTTTCTTGTTAAGAGAATTGACGTTTTTCAAAGGAGACTATATCCCAAGAATCTCGGGATCGTCACGTGAAGAAAAATGCTCATCCAAAATGAGAATATTGACAACTATAATGGAATTTATTCGAGTTTGACGGAGCTCTTTTGATTTTATATATGTGGTATTCATTTACTGGAATTTATATAGAATAAAGACCCAAATAAATGCACCAGTAAAACTTAAGATGGATTTTAAGATAAGCGCTGAAAGTTTTCAAATATAAAAGCCCCAAAGATCTGTGTTAAGATAAGATGGACTGGGTATATCAAGCGGTAATATATGAAGTCTGTATCGCACCTAGATCACTGCTACAGCTTTTCTAAGGTTGAATGTTTATATATGAATGTCAACACGATGTTCAAATTGCTATAAATTGATGTTTAGATTGAAATACTACATTTTATTGAATTCGTACATTTTGAAAAAATATTTTGAGGTCAGTGTATTCTTCAGTACATGCAAAGTTAACATTATTTTCTCACTTTGATTCAAAATTATCTTTGATATCTTTACCGGAAATGTCAAAACGTTTGTATCTCGATTGTCATTTAGCCTTTATTAGCGACCTTGATTTGGCTTGTTACCGACCACACAGAGAGATTAATGGCGATAATGTGATCTTAATATTATGTTTTAGATGGGTGCATTTCATTTGATTATTTACAAGATTTGTCAATCGATCTAACCGTTTATTTGACTGAAATCAAGAGTTTATTTTACTACGTATGCGGATCTGTAATTGAATGTTTTCAGATACTACAATCTAATGATGTCATTTGAAATGTAACCTCCGGGAGTCGAATAGGTCCACCGTGTTTCATTCCATCGAATATAGAAGCCACAACTTAAAGAAATCGAGTTACAGACGTAAATATTTACAGAAAGTCAATGAGAAAATTACAAATTTATGACATCATATTTCTAAAGAAAATTGAAAAAGTAGGTGAGATTCAGAGTAGGTGAGATTCAGATCAGGACCAATTTCTTTTTTTTATAAATCAATTATCCTCAGAATATTGACGAAACACATTTTCTAAAATAATTTTAAATATCTTTCGAAAGTCCACGTGAAGTATAAAGTCAGTGAACAGTTTTTCCTGGAGATCTCGAGTGTTGTGTAAGCGGCCCATGAGGGCCCTTGACTTTGACCCTAATCCTTTAAACAACCATCGCTACTCCTCCCATTACACCGATAAGCCTTTGGAATTCTACATTGAAGAATTGCAAATCCTCAATGACCATTTAGCACTCATGTACTCCGACTTATCCCGATCATTTAGATCTTGTTTTTGCTAAGTATGAACCTTTCATATTGATGGAAAATCTAGTAAGCGAGTTTGGATCATTCATTCATGTACACTCCTCTCCATAAGTTTGGCAATCAGAAGTTTGCATTGGGTTGCATATCAAAGTCTGTCAATGTTTCAATTTGTTCCTTAATAATAATTGTTCGGAAAAACAAATGTGATTTTTAAAATTGCAAAGCATTATATAGGCTTTGTTCCAAATGGATGGGACTCCCGGTTACCAAATGTATGGAGGGAAGTGTACACTACCCAAGCCCCTGAAAAAGCAATGGACACACTCTCTTCTTCAAACTTCTGGCATCCAAGGCCTGCTAATTTCAACATGTGCAAGTTAAGAAAACTGATGGTGATATGCAAATTGCGTTACTAGAAACAAAAAAACTAAATAAAAATCTACTGTTTTGATTGTTTGGTTCTATGGGGGTCACTTTGCAGTTTGTATTGGATGGGGTACCTTGGAGGTTGAAATTGAAGGGAATTTCAGGGAGGTATATGCATCTCGAAGAATTTGTAGGGGAGAGGAGGGGAAGATCCAACCTCCTGGGAGGTATGAGCTGAGACCATCATCATTTTATGTCAGTCTCAGGTATGGGTTAGACAAGATCGCTTGCATTTTGAGGGTAAATGCATGAAATGAATTTGTTAGTTTTTTGTAAAATACAATGGTAGTCTCCACCACTCTGTAGGCATTGACTGGGAACCAGAAGGAGAGAGTACTACAACTGTCACAGATCCTTAAGAGTTATACCACCGAAAATCTCATTTGGCAGATACGCTTGTAAATTGGTCTACACCTTGGCTTCAATAGTACAATTCAAGCGATAATTCCTCAACATGCATGCGTAATTTCTCTCAATAGGGAAAAAATTTGGAAGTATCTGTGTTGATATAATCCAGTCAAGATGCTACATGGACGAAATTGTTATATCTTTGTGAGACAAAATGAAAATCCAAGGAAACTAAATATGTTTAATGTAAGAGTGATTTTGAGATAATACTTTGATGTATCAGCATACTAGCGTTTTTAGATAGAGAAGCCCTCCACTTAGTTTAATGAGTTGAGATAAATATTAACAGCATCCGCGGAAGGTTCGTATCTGTCATGGGAGAAACAGTACTTTCTTAATTCGATCTAATCATAAGTTCATCGCAATACAGGATATTCATTCCCATCTGTATTTAATAAGTGAAGTATATTCTTTTCTAAATATAGTACACTGAGCAGTGATTCCAATATAGTACCCTAAAGTTAAAATTGGTTTTGACATTAAGGCGACATTCATTGATCACACAATATCATTGTAATTCTTTTAAGTTCAACTTTTAGGAGTTTAATAGTCCAAAAATAAACTTATTTTAGCCCCATGCATTCTTCATACCTACTAGTAATTTTTCTTTATATTGGAGGTTTTGTAAAGAAATCGCATATCTATTAATCCATATTTATTATTTCAATTATTCCAGAATGGCGAGGTCACTTGCGAGAGGGAAACGTGCAGTAAGGAGGGATGTCACGTCATTCTTTTCGACAAACCAAAGGACTCGTGTTGTGACGTTTGCAAAGGTGAGTTCTTGGACTAGATAAATCATATCGTCTGTGTCATAGAGTCGCAATTTGTGCATTTTATTTTTAATATTTTGGATTTGGATATTTTGGATTTTTGGAATACCATCCTTTCTTACAGTCTCATTTTGCTCCTTTAAAAGAAAGCGTCATCTACACTATATGAGTTTGAGTCCCTTGGTCATAATATACTACGTCTCACCACCGCAGTTAGAGGTGTCCTCCTCCCTATTCATTTATTAAGGTTTCAAGTTGACCAGGTCGATTCCAGATGCCATGGCTTTGATTGCTCAGTGATCATTGCTTATCGTTATATGCTGATTGCTTATCTTTATTTGTTAGTGGTGTCTGCCTTCGAATACCTTAACTTTCACGTTGATTTGGGAACAACACATCACATATTGTTTTACTTGTAAATTCCTGTTTGGGTTGGGTTGTTCAATTAGTTCATTTATTGTTTTAGTTGTAAATTCCTGTTTGGGTTGGGTTGTTCAATTAGTTCATTTATAGGAATTTGTCCGAATCACATTATAGATATAGTTTAGGGTACCCCTTGCATTTGTTCAACTTTCGTTTCTTAAAAGAAAGCTTCGTCTCATAACTAGACTCGTAGACGCGTAGGGTAAGGTTAGGGGTTATTGTGATTGAAATAATTCACTCCACACTAAACTGCAGCAAACTTTCTTTACCTGATAAAATGATAATTTTGACAAGCTATAAACTTCATAAATATACGGCTTTTAAAGATTCAAGTAAGTGTAAAATTATTTCAATGGTTATAAATGATCATAAACTAGCTTGCAAAATGTTTTTGAAATTGAATACTAAAAACTGGTGCAGTGGGTTTTACACTCCTTTTCAAATGTTTGACAATCTCAACTGCCCCATTACCCATTTGTTACAGGCCCGTAGCCAGGGGGGGAAGGTTCGCAGGGATCGGGCGAACCCCCCCCCCCGGCCAAACAAAAATTCTTTCAAATTCATGCAGTTTTTCACCATTTTGAGCACTTCTCAAGTGATTTTAGCCATATTTTGGCCAAAATTGTCAAAAGTGAACCCCCCTGGAATTTTAATGTTTGGCAAATTCTAAGATTCACCAGTCATGAATTAAGTGGGACCTAAATGCAATATTGAGGGGAAAACCAAAATCAAGTTCAAATTACCACGCGCCATCTATTGAGGAGGTGGGAATATCAAACTTTTGGAGGGGAGTGTACTTCTCTTTTGAATATCGTGTACAACTATTTACTGCGTCCCTCATTTGGATCTAATCTTTCGTAAAATTTCGTAAAAGGGTCTTAGGTCAAAGTCATACATATAAAGTGCCCAACTGCAACCCTTCTCAAGAAGTCGACTTTGTCTTCTCTCTTATAATACTACAAACACTTTGATGTAACCTATTTCTGTATAGTCAGATAATCTCAAAGCTACATTTTTACATATAATGCCAAACTCCCACAAAATAAACCATGTAATAAATACGCCATAAAAAGGACCGGTATAAAAGCCACATTCGAGATTCTCAAGATTTTATCTATCTAAGCATTAACATTAAAATCATCCGGAGTAAGGTGTCTCACCACCAACTCTCTTTCAGCAAGAAAAGTTTTCTGAAGTGCGGTGCGGTCAACTGGCATCATTGCTCCATCAGTTGGTATCTAGATGTTCAACGAGCCATAAAAAGCGATATGTCCGTGACTAAGGGTAATTCAATAAAACTCCTGCAATATCAGTTTCCCCGATTTACGTTGGTACAAATTCCAGTTAAGAGTAAACTTCTTCATATTAAAAACTTAAATATAAACTGGAGGTAGGGTCTATTGGCGCTTTCATGAAGAAACTGCACTGGTCTAAATGTGGATCAGCGCACTTGATCCTAAAATGTAAACCAGATATACACGAGTAGAATGTTAAGCATCGAGTATATGAAATATTTATTCAAGATAACCTGCTATTAACAGTATATAAATGTATAGGCAGATAAAGAGAAACGGTATACGGCCATTTTACCAACCCCCAGGCCAGTACTGTGCTAAACAAATAGCATGCCTTTAATTGTATAGAATTGACTTTTAAAAGCTTAAACATTTAATTATATTTTCTTTATTGTTCATTTATTATCAAATCTGTCATAAAGGTCTGGTTAGAAGTATTAATTGACTACTTTTACTAAATGAGAGACCTCACAAGTGAATATATTTATGCTTATGATTGTGTGACATTTGTAGGTTTGACGTTAATTATATAGGGGTATGTCTCGTTGCATTTGTATGGCTATATTATGAACAAGGTTTTCCCACTGAAAAATTGAACAATTTTTGACAAGGGGGATATAATTGTGTCTCTATCCAAAATTTAAAAATGATTTTTCTTCATGATGTTCAGTCTGATGTACCTCTGCCCGCCAAGTATTGAAGTTAGGCAAACATGAATGGAACTGCCTCTTCATATATTTTTTATTGTCTGATATTAATATTAATTGATACAGTTCTCAATTTCAAAATTAGCAAACCGCCTCACCATGCTTTCTCGACTCAAACTACTTTTTCTTTCTTCAGGGTGTTTTCACGATGGGAAAGTGTATGCCAGCGGTAAAGAATGGACTGACCCCAAGAACCCTTGCAAGACATTCAAATGCCAGGTAATTAAAAAATTACTATTTTCCATTCCGCTCCAAAATCAGGGGCAGCCCTCTCTAAGGAATGGCATATAAAGCCCCGTATAAAGCCTGTTCATGATTTAAATGAAACATTTACTTCAACAATTAGGTTGGAACTGTTTTAACAAATTCAATTTTCTTTAAATTTTGAGACATAGACAGGTTTTAGCATGGGGTCCAATAGCAATCGTGTTGTCAAATCTTTGGAGGGCATGTACTATTCACTGCATAATTATAGTATTAGATGCTGTACAGAGCCGGCCATCCATTCATCTCCAGAAACAGTGCTATTTTTAACAAAACAGTAAACAAATATACTATACTGTACTTAGGACGTCTTCACTACCAATCGGTCCATCCGAGGTTCTATGGTGTAATGGTTAGCACTCAGGACTCTGAATCCTGCGATCCGAGTTCAAATCTCGGTAGAACCTAATACTTTTGTACCTAAATTTTATGTTTCTTTTTATTCAATCATCGGAAGATATTATCATAGAATTATTCTAATTGGGATTAATATGTTGTGTAACTTTTAGGGTGGCGTTGTGACTGAGGCAAAGGAGCAGTGTTTTTCTCCATGCGCCAACCCATTGTATGTCCCTGGTCAGTGCTGTCCCATCTGCACAGGTACAGATTTGCTTCATATCAAAACCTACACAATCTTTTATAAACATGTTGTCAATTATATTAATAACACTAGTCATGAATACGGAACGCATCTTACGGATATGCAATGATTTTTATGATCTATATTCAAAATCTACAGCTTCTAAAGATATTTTATTCATGAATTAAAAATGTGTTTGTTATATTTCTTCTAATTAAAGTTGTTTAAACACAGGGCATTTAAAGAGTTAATCTTGTTTATATTACCTAAAACTCTTTATTTTCAGAAACCTGTAGTTACAATGGTCAGGACTACGAAAACGGAGAGACATTCTATCCATTGGAAGATACATGTGTGGAGTGTAAATGTACCGTAAGTTAAAATCACAACTTGTTTGCAAAGGTTCTGTACCAATATACAGCGAAAACAAATTGAAATTAATGATTATTTCTCGAAAACCTTTGAAATATTAATTAGGTGGAATAATATCTTTAGAATAATATGGAATAATATGTCTGAATGAATGATAATTCATATTCATATTTGACTCCAGTCTCCAATGTACTTCGTGTCAAGTTCGTGTGTGTGTTATTGTGTAAAACAAGAATTCGTATTTTTTAAATGAAACCCCGCTTTCTCAGAAGAATATCTCAATATATTATTGGATATCTAAATGTTAATGGCATTGTAATGCCAAAATGGTGATAATTTATGGATTCGTATGTAATCGGTTGTTGACGGATGACTGTTGCATTGCATTTTTAGTTATTGCGTGTGAACCAGCCAGATGTCATGCTCGAAACGTATGATTCACAGATAATCTCAGCGAACATATTGTCACACAGCGTTGACATTTCATAATTAATGGACTTATTGTGTAACTCCATAATTATTCCCTCTATTTGTGCATTGTTAATCGTGTATAAACCAAAGGATAATTTGACCTATATAGCAATAACAGGTTGCAAGTCAATTATTTATTGAAGTTGTGTCAGTCAGTGCACCTAGTGTTCTATACAGGTAATAATGTATTTAATGGATCTGAGATCGAAAAGATAAATATTATTGCTTACGTTTTTGTGGTTTGTTGTTTCTAATTACTGGACGAAACACGGAATTTGATTGCATTTATGATATTTGTTACTTTTTAGGTTCATACTTTAAAATTTTAAAAGGTTAAACTTTTTATAGGTTGTCCCTTTGGGTAGTTTTGGTCTTGTTTCACACCATTGTGACATTCCCAACACTGCACGCCTCGCATCTCAGGGGTTAATAGAATAAGCTGGTCCAGACACCGATGCAAGGCTATCCCTATTCCCTATAGGAAAACACATTCGTTAACATACATCCATGAAAGAGATTAGAATTGAAAAAGCAACAAATTAAGCCTTATGTCATTGAGTGCAGTTTCCTTTTGACCTAACCCATTTTTCATTAATTTTTTTCAATTTTTCTAGAGCATTTGTATTCACCTATTATCTATAACGAGGTGCACATAAAGTTTATAATTGTCTCTAGGTACAGTATCTATAACACAAAATGATTATGTTTGAACGATACCCCAATTGCCATTTATAGGGCTACGGATTCATTTATTTCAAGTGCAGTCGTTTCGTACTGACAGAACTTTAAAGCAATTTTCATTAGCCTCTATTTGTATTTTTTAGGTAAGGCTTAGTTGATAAAAAAGAAAAGTAGTGTTCCTAAAAAGACAAGAAACTGTCGTTTTCAAAGTCATTTCCAAGCATGTGGCCTAAGATTAACCTATAAATCTGTGGTTCCCAAAATCTCCGCTATAAAACTCATCAGATTTCATTCTTATCGAGTAAATTAGCCTATGTTTACTTTTTGTGGTATAAATGGTTACAATTCCTTTTTTAAATGTCAAAACTCGCGTCTGTTCGTTGTCCAGTTTGTATAAATTCTGATTTATAGGTGAATTGGAATATTTGTGGCTAGGAATTTGGAATTGAATTAAGACGAATAAACTAATGTTTTTGATTTTGAAATGACTAGAAATTTCACATTCGATTTGATTGGCGGGGAATTCTGTTGGTTGTATCAGCCTCCGAAAATGATTGGATTGTTCTGTTTTATATGTCTCTGGTCCGCCAGTCTGTCAGTCTATTTTGACGCAACCCCTAACTGTGATAGACGTCAGTTAGTCGAACAACTTACAGTTAAACATGTGTATACGAACACTATCAACGCAATAGCCTTAAGCTTATTGTAGCCATATTGATCATTCAATGTTTAAAAGTCTATAATGTGAACACCTGCTAATTCAAACACTTGTATCCCAGTGGTGTTATCATTCGACAGATTTCACCTTAGACGCAACTCCTTTTGAGTAGAAAGCTCAATGGCGGCTGTGGCAAGGGACAGGAGACACATATCAAAACAATATTTATCAATTACCAATTACTATTTGCACACTTAACCCTCAAAACTCTTAATATCAAACTTTTAAAGTGAGGTCAAAATCGTGTCACAATAAGTGTATAGACTTGTCTTTAAATGGTTTGTTTTATTTCAAGTGCGATATTCAATAAATAAAATGGTCGCCACTTATGTCTCGCGTTCGTTCTGAAGATTGGAAGGCAAAAGCAACGTTGAAACAAAAATGCTTATTTTTAGCTCTTATGGATTGGGAAATGCCTCTTCAATAGGATTGCGTTCCTGATTTAGAATAATCTTGTTTTTATGTTATGCATGTGTGTGTTTTTACAGCTGCAGAGTTGAAAGCAGTTTAACATTTTATTTTATTTTGTAGGATGGTCAAGTCCAGTGTAGTAAAAAGGCATGCCCTGTGCTGAACTGCGCAGAAAAATTCATATACCAACCTAATGGGACCTGCTGCCCAGTTTGTAAAGGTGAGACATGGGCCTTGTTTCTTTATTTTGATAAAAAAAAGCTAAATACAACAATAAAAAAACTTCATAAATAATCCCATTTGCTAATTTTTATTGCATTCTCATCATAATAAGTTGTTTACACTTCACCATGTGATATAATACATTTATGAGTCACTATAAAACACCAATGGCCGAATATATTTTCATATTTTTGAAAATTATGATTAATTTTAAATTATGATTTACTTTTGAATTATGATTTATCTTATCCAAAATGTACTAAACGGTGTCCAATGTTACCCTTTTTGATTTAGTATCTCAAACGAAAGTTTAAAAAAGGAATTTGATAAATTGATATTTCAGGCTCAAGGATGATATTTGACATTCCCGGCAGATGTTTCTTCAGGAATAAGGTGTACAAAAACAACCAAAAAATAACCATGGATACATGCACCCAATGTACATGCGTCGTAAGTAGTGAACGTTGTATACATTATCTAAAATACGATGTCCCTGTATATGGAAATCATTTCATCTCTAGATTAAAGAATTTATAAGTCTATAAACCAGGAATTAAAAATGGTTCAAGCAAACCGGTAAATGGAAAGGGATTTTTGTTATTTTATTCGTTTATTACCAGATGTTGACATTAATGTTTTTATACACGCAGAATATTTGTGTAGTAATGTAACATGATGAAGTGATCACATACGGCACCTTGTAATGTACAGGACATATCATTTTTGCAGAAAGGGACGATGGTATGTGAGAGAGACAACTGCCCAATCTTAGACTGTCCACAGAGTGACATTGTTCAACAAGACGGAAAGTGCTGCCCAGTGTGTAAAGAAAAACCTAAACAGGGATGCGAGTTTGATGGGAAACCATATGAGGTATGTATGACATGAATATAACTATTGTGGTGAAATGATTCTCCTTTGGGAGACGAGAAAGTGGGCTATGAAAGATGCTGGTAAGCCTGTTGTAATTAAGGTAAAATTCAAGAACAGACGCCTTCTTGTGGCCAGAATTAAAAATCTATGTGTCATTTTTCATCGTTTTTGTCAAAGAAAACATCATAGTAAAAATATTTGTCGAAAAAACGGCAGTTCATAGCAAGCTAAGTCCATGTTATCTAACCCACTCTTATATTTTCCGTATAGCACGGAGAGGTTTGGAAGAAGGACATTTGTTCCTCATGTGTGTGTGATGAGGGGGAAGTCAGATGCCAGGTCCAGCAATGTAGCAATGTATTATCGTGCCCAAGGAACTACAAGCTCGAACTTCTTCCCAATGAATGTTGTCCCAGATGTGTAGAAAGTAAGCAACAATTTACTCACAATATATAATCATGGACATTCTCTTGAAGCCCATACTGTAATTAATTTAACATAATGGTTAGACTAAATTCATATCCAATAGTTTTATGTTATATTTACTTTTCCTGTCTATGATGTTTTAACAATCTTTCACATATTTCAGAGGACGCAGTGTGTGCTGTATTTGGTGACCCACACTACCGCACATTCGACGGCAAAATTTACAACTTCCAAGGTCAATGTTCCTACATACTAACCCAAGATTGTCACGGGCAAGACTTCTATATTCGTGTACGAAACGATGGCAGAAAGACGAGCTCATTTGCGTGGACTCACACAATTCATGTTTTCATAGATGGCACTAAAATCAGTCTTCTACAGGGTCTTGGGGTCAAGGTCAACGGATCAAGAGTCAAATTGCCATATTACAAAGACAATGAATTCCAAGTTGATAGAGACACTAGTTCTGTAGTTCTACGCACTGTTCTGGGTGTTTCTGTCATTTGGGACGGAGATAGTTATGTGGAAGTTTCAGTGCCAAGGAAATATAAAAACAAGCTTTGTGGTTTATGCGGAAACTACAACGGATCTCCCCAAGATGACCTCACTGGACGAGATGGTATGCGCTATACAAGTTCAGCGGCTTTTGGCGCAACTTGGCGAGTAGGAAGTAAAAAGTGCAACAAGAAACCTCCAGCTCCTGAGATGATGAGTTGTAAAAACAAGTTCATAAAGAAACTGAGGGTCCATAAACAATGTAACATTCTAAAAGACGATATGTTTGCAGCATGTGTGGGGAAAGTGGATGTAAAGTCATATTTCAAGTAAGTTGTAATTTTTTATCAAAGAATTATTAAGAAATTCTGTTTGGGTTAGAACTGCAAATATGAGCAATGGAGGAAATACCCTAGAATTGACAGATGAATCTATCTTCATAAAGATGAACCTATAAAGGTATCTACTTGTTATGAGGACATAGCAAACTAATTTAAACCATTTATGTGCTGCCATCTTTTCACTTAAACCAACAATATTATTCGAAGTTACAGTTAGACGAGGGTAATAAATATTATAATGCCATCTTTCTTTGAGCAGTAAATTGTTAATGGAGTAAAAATAGTCCCCGTAGAGCTTTGTTTTTTGGTTCCAAACAATTCTAACTCTATTGCAGATCTTGCACTACTGATGTCTGTGATTGCCCCCGTGGAAAGAAGTGCGTGTGCGAGTCAGTCAGGGCCTATGCCAGAGCTTGTGAGAGGGAAGGGGTAAATCTCGGAGATTGGGAGTCAAAGACCAAATGTGGAGAAGGTAAATATGGTAATTTTCTTAATGAGGACCTGATTGCAAGGCCCTTCCATGGAGTTGAAATTTACATTGTAAATATTTTAGTCGTAACCCCCTAATAAAGTCCCGATATTGTTTTTAAAAAACAGTAGGGAGGGAAAACGTGTAGAAGGAGGCGGTTTCTTGTTCATTCATAGTACAGTCGCTTTATCAAGTCATTTTATGTGACTCTTTTTCTAATCAGAATGTACTGCTTAAACAATTGGTCGTGTTCAAGCTCAGAAAGTTAATCTCAGAAGATTACTATCAGCTCAATCAAATTAGACCTTGGACAATTCTAATCTTTAGAAAATACACCACCTATTTCGGTTATCAGACATTGTCATAGCAATATACAAGTAGTATTCCTCGTATTTTATTCTGGGCCATGAAATGCAATCTTAAACTGTAAATCACCCCTATAAATAGTTATACATAATTTCCAGAATAGTAAACAGTTTTATTAATCAGATCTGTTTTACTTCAGGACAACTGACGTGCCCCAAGGGTGCTGTGTACGACACATGTGCAGATCCATGCCCAAGGACTTGTGCAGATTGGGACAAACCACGCAAATGCAGCAAAATGTGTGCTCCGGGTTGTTCCTGCCCGCATGGCACTGTCTTACATAAAAATAAATGCATCAAAGCTTCGAGATGTTCTAAAAAGAGAAACCAAATTTGATCACAACAAACCGTGACACAAGTCCAATATTACAATCAAAATATGTTTGTGTCCATTTAAAGATGGCGCTGCAGGTATATCTATTACCACGTTTCCTTATCTAAAGATGGCGTGATGGATGGAAAAACTTGCCAATGGAAGTATACGGATGAGTGATCATACTCAAATATGTGTTTATCTTAACATGTATGCGAAAATCGAAAGAGGCAAATGATCTGAATTGATCTGAACGTTAGAAATAATGAGCCTAGCGTGCGGTGCCTGGTTTACAACATAAACTGGAACTGAAATGTAGTTGTACGTTAAAATTTAAATGTACCGGAAGCACAGGGTTCACATTAATTATATCAAATCTGATGCATGAAAATTCAAACTGGATTTGCAATTAGCTTTGACAATTTGGATGCTTTTGATTCGTTTGAATTGTTATGAATCAGTAAGGATTTATTAATCATATCATTATATGATAGCATTTACTACGTTAATAGTATTATTGTTGTTACAAATAATTATTATTATTATATATATATATATTTCGGTTACAATTTTATCAATGCATTTTAAATGTTTTTATATTATATTCTACCACTTTGGCATTATTATAAATATTACATTACAGTTTCATATAACACATTGTTATCTACGTAGTTGAACTTTATAAAATAATATTTCTTAATGTTATCTGTTTGCATTTATGTACATTTTAAAACAAATGTTTGTTTTTAAAACAAAGTATATATGTCTGTTTGAAATGGCGGTTGTTGTATTTCTAAGATTATCTCATGAGAGTGTCTTCCCTTGAAGACCCCTTCAAAGTACTAAAAATACTCCTCCTATATAAGGCTCGGTGGCCTTGTGATCCAGGTTCCAGTTCAGCGTTCAGTTCAAAGAACACGGCTTTTTTATTATTCTAAGTTGGACGGTTGGTAATGACCCATGTTGACGTTGAAGGTGTTAAGTTGTTATTTCTTGGGAATGAGCGCTGAATTGGGCCGAAAAATATGTTTCATTGTTTTTTCTTTTTTCTTGTTTTCTATTCTGTGGTTGATCAAACACAGGTCACATGACATAATAGTTTATGTTTACTGGATGGTCATGGACACAATATAAGACCCCTTTTGAAAATACTTTTTAATATTCTATCTTTTCAATTGTAACAGAACTGGAATCATCAAAATCAAATATTTAACCCAAATATGTGCCTGCTTTATAACACGAGGTTCTCGTAAGCAGATTAACCGAACCGGTAGGCCAATTTGTTAAAGTTCTAAAGTTTTGTCCAGTCGTAGCCATATCTGTAAACATTTTTACAGTATTATTAAAATAATTGAAATTCAACAAAAATGATTTTTGCAAAAGTTTTGCAGCTAAATGTGGTTATGAATTGAATTAATTTCTAGCACTTTGACAAACATACGCACTATTCAATTGATCTTTAGGATTGTAGTTATACGTGTATCGTTGACAATAAATGCTGACTTAATTTTGCATCTTAACATAGCCAACATTGTAATGATAATGCATTCTATATTAGTATGCATACAACATTTTATAAAACTGTCTACGCACCGAATTGTTTAATTTGTATTATAAATATTGTACATATGTAGTTCTATGTAGTTTTTGTTAACTTATTTATTTTATTTATATTAGCAACATTGTACATATTGGTGAACATGAACTATTGTAAATAAATTTGGATCTATTTAATCTTATATATTAGATTTGTATTTCTTAATTGTCCATCAGCTGAGCCTTTGACGCCAGGGCATGTGCATCATTCCGTGCCCTGTTTTTCATATTTCTGATACTCATCATCACATCTTTCTGTTTTTCAACTAGGAAGGAACTATTGGAAAACTATGATGTTTTTGCCTCATTCAAGTCCATTCAAAGTTGAATATACAATGGCTCTCCCCTCTGAAAATTGTGTCTTGTCAACCCGAGTACACAAATATGTCTTGTTCGAATGCATACTGAAACATACAAACTGTTAAAGGAATTCCTGGATGGCAAGCTACATGTACTTCAACGCCTTAACCCTCCATAACACCGGTCACACAAGCACTAGCTTCCTGGTTGTCATAGCAGATCCATATAAAATACAATAAATAAAGGATTTCGCACCCATGAGCACTGATGCCCCGTGTGCTTATTTAGTACTAATGTTGTACTAACTGGGTACTCGGCATATGTATGAGTCCTCATTGAGTAATGAAAAAACAATGAAATTAGAGCTATTTTATCACTCATCGTGTGAGTATTCATTTAGTAATAAAAATGCAATAAATCAGTACTCATGTCATAAGTACTCATTTAGTACTACTATTTACTGAAATGAGCACTCAATCAGCGCTTAACTGCCATGAGAACTATTTTAGTACTCAGCATATCTCTCTGTGTACAGGTTAATATCTCAGCTTTCCAACAATACAAAACTATCCCATGGGTCAGCCGACTATTAAACTCCTAAATAATGGACTTCTGAGGGTTGGCCTACTCACCTAAGCGTACAGAATCATAAAATGAAATAAATCAGCGTAATTTTCGAATTTCATTCGTTTTAATGATTGTCTTTTTCATTGGTGTCAAACCATGGTGTATCATCAAGCTTAAAAATGATCAATCGAGTATAGTAATTACCGTGCCTATCTATGGCACATTTATATTATCAATCTCAATTTAATTTGCATGTATACAGGATGGGCCAAAAAACGCCACTTTTTTCAAGACACTACAACTTTTTTATTTTCCAACCTACACCCCCCAAATTTTGCAGTTATATAGTGCCAGGGGTTCTTAGCAATAATATAATGCAACAAGTCCTTCAACGTCAATTATATTTGATTTAAAAGAGGAGTTCAATTGGTCCGCCACCCTATTTGATGATCGATTTTAGTTTCAGTCGCCTTGCTGATATAGCAGTATCAATGAAATTGAGGTAAGTTTTTTTCAACCTGTCCTAATTGCCAGCTTTAGTTGAGCAATTTATTGGATTGGGTGCCTTAATACAATCTCCTGGAGACATTTCCATACCCTATACTCACTGGGGTTTGCATCAGGCCTATTAGCTTGGCTGTCATCAGGGCGTATCAGTTCAGAAACATTTTGCAAATTATGCTTATTATTTCTCATGGCACACCACATGTTTCAGTGAGACGCTGGTGACATATTTTATTCAAGTAAAAGTGTAAAATTCATGATCCATGCCTAGATAACAACTTCAAGTTTCATTTGGTATGCAAATTATGATTTTGTATCAAAAATTAAAAAGTTATAGCATTTTGAAAAAAAGTGGCGTTTTTTGGCCCACCCTGTAGTATGACCAAGTGTAATGTAATAATGTAAAGAGGTAGATGACACCTACATGGCACGAAGTTCGGTTGGGATTATAGTTAAGTCATCCGTCTGTCCGTCCGCTCGTTCGTCCGTCCGTCCGTCAGTCAGTCTTGAATATAACTCGATTACCAGTGGACGGATTTTCTTCATATTTGGTGTATTGTGAAAGACAAATATTGATGAATAGTGGTATGCAACAAAAAAATCCAAGATGGTCACTGCTTTAAAATTGAAGGGAATTTTTTGTGAAAATCTTAAAGGCCCCATGTAAAGTTTAAACCACTTTGGCTTATATTGTAGTCTTACCCAATGTTATCAAAGTGTGATATGTGAAACTTTTTTTTTAAATTTCAAAAAGTGGTTTTTGATAGACTTTTTGTTCCAAAATTTGTGAATTTATTTAAAACCAACTTTTAGAGGTCACTCATATCTTCTAATTAGCCACAATTCATACAAATGCATAGCATTCATCCTCCCATGTTTTTTGCCGAAAAAATTAAGAAAATCGGTTGATAAACAAGCGAGAAATGAACTTATCAGTGCATGAAAGTGGTTCTGAGAAAAATGCATTTCAAAATTTTAGTTCTCATAGAAACCAATGGTACAATGATATCTAAAACATAATTTATTCTTCCTTTTAACCTGGTTAGACTATCAACATTGGTTTTTTATGAAAGTCTAGCATATTTAGAAAAGATTGACATCGAAAAAAAAAATTTAATTTTTTTCAAAAAGTTTTTGTTACCTTAGTGACATCACTAATGTTTCAAAATATTTTTGATAAGCTAAAACATTGAAGTGGCCCATTAAATATGACATTTTATTATTGAAATAGTGTGTCTTTTGTTCAATCTTTGCATTGGTGTTAAAAAGATAATCTTTTTTGAAATGCATTAAGAAATATTTGATGATTAAGAAATTTCAAAAATGGCGGGAAATTTGAATATTTGAGAAATGAAATGCTCACAACTTTTTTTTCAAAAATTTTTTTTTGTTCAAAAATCTCTAAAATTACTTTTTAAGTCCTGACAAATAGTAAATGAATGATAAAAAAATATTTTCAAACTTTAGACGGGGACTTTTATTTCAGACCAAAGTAATGAATATTATTGTTTGAAATGTTGTAAGTATATTTGCAACAACTATTTATTTCATATATGTTCCGAGTTTTTCACCTTGCATAACCCTAAGGGGCCATGTATGGGGGTCAGGAAAATGGGAATTTGCGTTAATTTTGAGCTCTTTCTAAAGTATAGCTTTATTATACTCAAATGAAAGGAAAAGAGTAGATTGCAAATATTATATCGGTTTTGTAATTTGGGCCTCGTAAAATTTAAAATGGCCGCTTTATGTGAGTTTTTGCAATAATTTTCTGATCCCTTTAAAGTATGGCTATATTACACTCAAATTGAAGGAAGTTTAGGGTAGACCATTACTAAGGTATTGTTTTTCTGATTTGTGCCTCAGTTGCTGCCAACAGGAATTTGCGTTAATTTTGAGATCTTTCTAAAGTATAGCTTTATTATACTCAAATAAAAGGCAATTTAGAGTTGATTGCAAATATTGTATCGGTTTTGTAATTTGAGCCTCGTAAAATTCAAAATGGCCGCCTTATGTTGAATTTCGTAATAATTTTCTGATCTCTTCAAAGTATGGCTATATTATTCAGGGCAGATCACTATTTTGGTATTGTTTTCCTGATTTGTGCCTCGGAAAATTCAAAATGTTTTTATTATTTAATTTGTTCCTTTAAAACTCTTAAATCGTCACCCAAATGCTTTTAAAATTGGTAGAAATTCTGATATATCTCTTACGTTCATCAGGTTTCGATTGTTCCTACCTCTAGACCAAGTGGAAAGCGACGATGTCTAATGTTTCCAATGTTTATATTTTTGTGACAGATACAGATTCATGTTACAGTGTTTGTTGGGATTAGCTACTCCGCAGAGTTGCCGTTTTCCAGTTTGTATATAGTGCCTGGGGATTTGTAAGATAAATGATAATATACTGCCTAGAGAACCTCAAAGGTTGATGACTTAGTCGGACTGAAAAACATTGAATAGATACTATATTATTGATGCCGAGTCATTTCTAACTATTCAAATCATTCCTATGGGCTTTCACAAGAAATATTTGTTACTGTTGTAATTTGTTTAGTAAATTATTTTGCTAGCACCTCCATCTATGTCATCTCT